GCAAACATCATATGTTGAGTCTGATTTGGAATCTCTTCGTCACCGAGGCCCATTGGAACAGTTGGTATGATGTATGAGAAATTAAATTGTGTTTTTTTTTTAAATTCAGTTTAAGATATCTTCAAATCTTTGGGAATTGAGGAAATCAATTTAATTTCTTCAAAATGGTAAGGAATCAGAGTTAAAGTGAGAGATTTCGTGACGTGACGTTTTGAAGTTCCGCAAAGTTTTTGATTTGAAGAACTTAACTGAACTTCCCGGGAATTTGTAATTTGAAGAACTTAGTTTCCGGCCTGAATTAGAATTTCGATCCAAATCGAGTTTCGGTACAAGTCAGTGTTTTGGTCGGAATTGGTCTTATAGGCCGAATCTGTGTTAAAGAGAGGTTCTGATGTTCCATGAATTGAATTGAGGAATTTGAAAATTATCATTGCTGTTTTCTAAACTGGACCAGAGGTTCCTATAGTTTTGGGTCGAAGGCAAATTAGCTCTCCGCAGGAACTAGCTTAAAAATTCGCACAGAATTAAGCTCGTATTAAATAAAATGTAATTTCACTTTATTTTTTGAAGAATGAATGAATAAATAATAAATAATTTTTTAATGTACCCTAATCGTTCTTCCCTGAATCTTTTAAACATGTTACTATTGACTGATGACATAACTGATAGAGAAGAAAACAACCTTTACAAAGATAAAACAACAAACAAATCAAACGGTCTCTTGTTGCAAAAGATGGCACTTGTAAGCATTCCGCTAATCAGATACGCTTAGCACATACTACTGCGCATGCGCGTCTGTGCGTATCGTGAACAATTAAAACAACGAGAAGTGCTTTGGACATTCGAGTGGCTTCGTGTACTTAAAAAACAAAGCCAAAGTTTTATCCAAAATCAGGCGATCATGAAAGATAAAATCAGATAATACTTTGTGTGAGGAGCACGCGAACTGAATCCCACGAACTCAGGCTGTGTGTGTGTTTGTGTGTTAAAACGTAAAATTCTTATCCATTTTTTGTTATCTAACCAGGAGCAAATACTCACACGGCCGTAGCAGTCAGTTTTCTTTACGTTTAACTGTGAATGACGAAAATGAAAAAAAAAAAATGGTTCAGGTTGATATTTTCTAGATTCGGAACAGCTTTTCTCTAATCATTTTTAATATTTTAATACTTGTCATTGCGACCAAAGATTGATACGTTTTCTACGGTTTATCAACCTTTTTCATGTTATTTAAAGCCAGAAAACAATTATATAGATTATCAGAATTTGTTTAGAGATGATTTAGTGGTACAAGTCTTCCTGATGAAACAATAGACAGGAAGAGAAAAGATCGATTCATACTCTTTCCCAAAAGAAGCAAATATAACGAAAACCAACTGGAATTCGAACTCGGCTCTCCGATGAAAAATTCCTGCCCATTATCCATTACACCACCAGCACATTCAAGTTTACAGAATCTGGTATTCTCAAGATATCACCCATCTAAGTACTGACGAGGTTCGGCATTGCTTAACAGGAAGGCATTTAGACATCGAATTTGGATCGTACGGGATTCGACCTAAGAGGAATTGTTAAAATTTAATATTATAGTAGACTGTGCGGATTTGAATGTAGCAGTAGTGCGACAGTTAGCGAATCGGAAGACGAAATCGGTGAGACGAATTTGGATGTAGAGGCAGTGTGTCGGTTCGCGAATCTGAAAACAAAATCGGTGAGTCGAATTTGGATGTAGCGACGATGTGACGGTTGTGAATCGGAAAACCAAATCGGTTAGTCGAATTTGGATGTAGCGACGGTGTGGCCGTTGCGAATCGGAAAATGAAATCGGTGAGTCGAATTTAAATATAGCGGCGGTGTGATGTTTGGCGCATCGGAAAACGAAATCGATGAGTCGGGTTTGAAGTCGAATTCGTTGCCTTTTCTTTCTCGCAAATTCCTATCGGGAAGGGTATAACTCTATCTCTCTTAACTAGTGTAACAGAAGGAACACTCCAAAATTCAAAACCAACCTAAAGAGGGATGGAATCCGTCAGATTTGTCTTGCTCTAGACACACCACTGCTATCATGGCTGCAGTAGATGTGATACCACAAAGACGGTAATGGGCAATAAGTTTGGTGACGTGATTATCCCCGAGGAGATTGGCATGTTGAGGGTTTTTACAATTACTTTCGCACAAAATCTTTGGAAAGTTATAAATAAATCCCAAGATAGCTGTTAATAGCTTTGTTTCCCAATCGGGCTAGGAGAAAGCCAACTATGAATCGAAATTTGTACGTCAGGCTATCAAGCGTACCCCATAATAGTCTACTTGCAACATTTCAATACACATATTGAATCAATCTATCTATAAACAATTTTAAAATCAATGAGGCCTGTTCAAGTTTCCCTCCACGAAAGAGAAAATAGATAAATTTTAACGTTGCGTTAACCCAGGATCGATTTGTCATGAAGGCGACTTCGCAATATTATTCGCCTGGGGAGGCGACTCTAGCCCGCGGTACCGCTGGAATGAGTGTGACAAACAAACCAAAGGTTGACCCAAGCCTTGTGAGTGAAATTGGGTCGATGGAACTGTACACCGATAGTTATGCTTGCATGAAGTCACAAGTCATCATGACTGAGGTTTTGAGCGTACTGACGTTTTTCAAACTGTTGATCACGAGAGATGGTGCACTCTCATCCAGAAACTGTAGCTATTAAAATGGTTATTCGGAATGAAATATAAATGAAAGCCGAGATGATACGAAGTGAAGATGATGCAGATAAGGAGGATAGATAAGAATTAACCCATGATGAGATTAAGATTGGAGTATTCAGGGAAGTATCTACGCGGAATTCGCTTCCGTAAAGTATCTGTTTGGGTAAACAGTATCTGAGTGGAAATTTAATTTGGTATATGGGGGCAATTAGTGTGATTCGACTCGATGGACGTGGCGTGGTGTTTTTGAGTTGTAAAGATCTGGCCTAAAGAAGAGTTAATTTGAACTTTTTTTTTTTCAAATTAGCGCATCTTAAAGGTATTACGCTAACAGAACCTTAGTAACGAAGTGCCTTTTTGTTGCTTTTCGATAACAACTGAACAATGAAACATTCAGAGATCCGGTTAAGGTAATGTGAATTACAATGCTTTATTTAAGGTTTCAGCCAATTTACGGCTGTGAGTGTAACAAGGTGCGAAGTATAATGACGCAATTGCTACCAGATCCGTTCAAGAACTCAGGTGCGGCCGTAGGTTGAGCTGGGATCATTTCAGCAGCTAAAACGAGAAGTACTTGACCTCCCATTTGCATCCGGTATACAGGCGTAAGGAAGATTCTTGATGCAAAAGGTTATAGAAACAAATGAATCGAAGAGGATTCAGGTAGTCTCTGATACTCCAAAGATGGAGAATATGAGGTCCACATTTTAGAACGGCAAAGCGTAGAGCCGCTTGCACCACAGACCGACCGAGAGTAACTGACGAAATATTCAAGAGAATAAAATCTAAATTTAAATACAAAATACTCAAGTCTCGCGTTATTAATCTGTCGGCACTCCCACATCATTACCGGTGGAAATAGAAAAAAAGTCAAAAAAATAATAACGAAAATGCTCAAATTATAAAATTCGGACAACTGATAAAAAACGGTGTAAATTTTTAATTTGTGGGTGAGTATAAACAGGGCCAGTGTGTACGCACTCCCTCGCCGACATTGATTGTGGCGCTCCGGACAGTGTTTTGTGACCTTCGCTATCTTATCAAAATTTACATTTTTCCTATCTACATTTATACATATTTCAAATTAAACCAACCACAAGTGACTATTAAAGGATGAAAAGTTTTCGTGGATTTTGACGTCATTCAGGTTTTTTTTCGTCCAAATCCGTGAATTTGTTTTGCTCATGCTAAGTCACGAAAAAAAAAAACTTTAGT